CTGACCACCTGGCCATGCCGGGTCCCATCACTAAAGAACACGAGCTTGTTAATTGGGTCTTTTCAGTGAGATTCTTTTGATGCTCCTTTTACTTATGGTAAGTTATTCAGTTATTCACTACAGTTATAAGCATTGTTCATGAATACATTCATGAAGAGTGCCCAGAATTAAAAGGGTTATTTAGTTTCAAAAGGTAATTAAAAGATACTATGTTTCGAACCTGGTGGTGCACTGAATATTTATACACATATATATGTATATAATATCGGTAGCAAATTAAAAAACATGATAAAATACACAAATAGAAAAAACAAGTTATGTGTTAACTACTTCAGTCTACTAGCCGTGGACAAGAAAATCCTCATAAATTAATGCATTATAATAGTGTTGGTCAAATCACATTATTCGATATGAGCAACTCAATAGTTGGTAGTGGGTGCTGTGCACTATAGCTGCCTTCCTTCAAATCTGTCAGTTCAAAATTAGGGCTGGCTAGCGCAGATAGCTCTTGTGTAGCATTGCGAGTATATTCAAAACAATCAAGCAGGTCTTTCTGTTCTCTTTTTATTATATATAAATTATGTTATACTGTTATCATCTGAAAATCTTGAAATTTCTAAGTTACTGTGTGTTCGTGTCCCAACTACCTTTCATTAGTTTCTAACTGTGTATTATCACAAATCTTAGGTGTAAAGGGTTCTTCAAGCGCACAGTGCAGAACAAAAGAGTTTACACGTGTGTTGCAGATGGCAGTTGTGAAATCACCAAAGCCCAAAGAAACAGATGTCAGTATTGTCGTTTCCAAAAATGTCTTAGGCAGGGCATGGTTCTAGCAGGTGAGAATTTATGTTTCTAGATTTGCAGTTTTATATTGCAACCAGTCTCTTGTGTAATGACCTTCAATAGCCGTTGATACGTTTATCATAAGTGTGATATGTTGTCTTTATATACCACATAAATAACTAATTGTATTTGTTACCTTTCTATATAAAACAATGACAAATTTATTTTGTCAATAAGAATATAAGCTTCTATGTTGTAAGCATTAAATTAAAGTAGAATTACTTAATAAAGTGGCCTAACATGGCCTGATGATTAAGACATTCAACTCACAACCTGCGGGTCGAGGATTTGAACCTCGTCAGCGAACATGCTCGCCCTTTCAGCTGTACGGGCGTTATAACGTTACGTTCAATCCCACTATTCGTTGATATAAAAGTAGAATAAGAGTTGGCGGTGGATGATGTTGGGTAGCTGCCTGTCTTGTGGCCTATCACTTCAAAATTAGGCACAGCTAGTGCAGTAACCCTCAAATACCTTTGAACGAAATTCAACAAACAAACAAAAGTTAATAAAATTACTTTGTGTAATATTTTTTGTGCATTACTTGTCTCACCCATGATGGAAGTGGGTTGGCGATAGCTTAACTGTCGCCTTAGGTTTAAATTGAGGCTGCGCCCTTACAGTGGAGACTGCATTTGGCGTTCTAGGCGTATACCTATGTAACCTACCCTTAACGTCAGGCCTAGATGGCAGTTTATCATACTTTTCCTCGTTAGTAGCTAATCGAGAGAAACAAGACATAACTTGATATAATCATGCATTTTTTTTATCATATCGGTGAGAGCTAAGCCAGCTTTTGTTGTTGTTGTTCGTAAGTGCACGTTTACTGTAGATAAATTTCACACTCCGAATGTTCAATATTGAAGCTGTTCTTTGCTGTATGTCATTTATGTCATTGAAAAACATATTTTCTGACAGATGTTTCTTACTTGGAATTTTCTTAATGTTTATATTCAAATTTAATTTATTTTTCAATCAGAATTTTACACATGTTTTTGTGTTAAAAATAAATAAAAAACAAGACAAAAAATTCTACGAGAGAAGGACCCAGTTTACTCCGACAGTTTTTCTTTTTTGTATTCGTTTTATTATTTTTAAGAAAATGATTCTTTCTTGAGAATGCACAAAAAACAGCAACAACAAATTATAAGGTAGTAACCAATTGAACTGTATTTTTGATTTTGTTTCAGAATTTTCGTGCAAAGGAGAAAATTAAAATCAAATACTGCTCCAGTGTGAATATCTGCATGGAGTTTTTTGTTTATTTCAGATATTCAAATAAAGCTACACATTGGCTATCTGCGCTGGCCGTTCATAGTTTTGAAGTGATATATTAGAAGGAACAGAGCTAGGTACGTGCTCTCGCTGCCAACGCTTGGGTTACTTAATCGAATAATAGAATTTGAACTGTCCCAACATAGCGGAGAGCAATTTTTGCAGCAAAGGGACGCGAACCCTAGTTCTCGTATTCACACACCGGCACTCTAACTAAAAGGCCGCGCCATGTCCAAAAGTTTGGAGTCATAAAAGTAAATGTAAGAAAAAGAATAAAATTTAAATCAATGTTTCGATCAAATTACCTTCATCGTGATTTTTTGAAGGACAATTGGCCGAAAATTTAACATCACGTTTCTCGTTTATAGTTATTTATTACTATTATTTCCACACTATTTTGTTTTTTCACTAATGAGTGCCAGACGTTAACTTAATTCCAGCAATTATTAAGTCATTATACAGCTTTTTTCTCTATAAAAACTCTTGACCCGTCGACTTTTATTTTCTGATAAAAATAGTACGAGGAGCTTTCCTGCTTGTAAACGTTTCTTTGTGCGAATTTTCAGCACCTTCATTTGAATATTCGACCGACCAAGCGAAAACATAAATTTTGCTACATGAAAATTACTTTATAAAATCTGATTCTTTCCTAAAGTTTCAGGCCCGACATGGCCAGGTGGTTAGAGCGCTCGACTCGTAATCTGCGGGTCGCGGGTTCGAATCCCCGTCCCACCAAACATGCTCGCCCTTTCAGCCGTGGGGGCGTTATAATGTGACGATCAATCCCACTTATCCTTGGTAAAAGAGTAGCCCAAGA